TGTTACCGCAGGTCAAAAGAAACCTCCAGCATCGTGAAAAGAAAACCCACAAACTGGGAAAATATCTTAGTGGACTGTCCCTCTGACAAAGGACTTCTGTCTAAAACATATAAAGAATTTAAAAAATGAGACCACCAAAATTCAAAGATCCAGTCAAAAATGGGCATCTGAGATGAATACACACATCTCAGATGAAGAAATACAAATGGCAAATAAATACATGAAGAAATGTTCATCATTAGTGATTAGAGAAATGTGAATTAAAACCACAATGAGATTCCATCTCATTCCTGAAAGAATGGCCAGGATCAAGAAAACCACCAGCAACAAATTCTGGAAAGCCTGTGGGGAAAATGGAACTCTCCTGAACTGTTGGTGGGAGTGTAGACTGGATCAGCCATTGTGAAGGTCAGTCTGGAGACTTCTCAAAAGATGGGATTTGAAGTCCTATTTGACACAGCTATTCCACTTCTAGGCATATTCCCTTTAGACCTGAAAATGTCATACCACAGTTGTATATATCCACCTATGTTTAGAGCAGCACAGTTTGTAAATGACAGATCTTGGAAACAACCCAAGTATCCATCAACTGAGGATTGGATTTAAAAATTGTGGTAATTTTATACAATGGAGTACTACTCAGCTATAAACAATGATCACACTCAGATATTTATAAATAAATGGGCGCAGCTTGAGACCATACTCATAAGTGAAATAAATCAAACTCACATTTATAAATACTGAATTCTTCCCCTGGTGTAAATCATGCTAAGTATACATAAAAGTATGTGGTAATCATGACATTCTTTTGAAGCCTTATAATGGTTTCATTCATTAATTGGAACCGTTTTATCCTGGGTTGTATGATTTTATCTTCTGTGATGTATGAACATTTATTCTGAAGAAAATAAGACTATGTAAATAGCTAGTGCTGATTTAATATCATCTTGTTTTGAAGTCCCATGAAGCTTTTGTTCTTCTGACTCCATTGGTTTATCATGTTGTGTCTATTGGACTTTATTATATGTGATAGTATAAACAAAAATTTCTACAGACAAAGAGATTATATAGAAACCATTGTTCATTTTCTAATAGTTGGTTCTAAATACCCTGTAATACTTTCATTTTCTTGAATGGTTTTACAATTTCATGTTATGTTTGATACTACAGTGTATGAAGTTATACTCAAATATTTCAAGGAAAGAGACACTATGGTAACTACTGTTATATCGGTGTATCTTGTGGTGAAACACTATGTTGCTTATACTGTTCCGTTCTGACCTGTGTTGTTATGTAGTTGTGTCCTCTTTTTTTTATTTAAAGAGAAAGAAATAAAAAATAAATACATGGAGAAAAAAAAGGTACAAATAATACAGAATTACAGAAAAATAATCTGTAAGAAATCCCCAGTTAATAAGTTACATATTGTCATCTTGGAAATAGTTGTTCAGGTAACAAAATTAAAGTTTTTAAAGTGACGGTCAAATAGCGACACTGCGAACCGTTTCTGCTCAATGATCTAACAAATCTTAGTAATATGGTTATCAGTCGTACACATTTGTTTTTTTATGTTAAAGAGGATAAGATTAAACATATCAAAACAGAACAAAACAGTTCAAGAAGAAACAATTTAAAGAAATACAGATTTCAAAGCAAGTCCCCTGGAGATCTTCACTGTTTATCTAATTGTCTCTAGTTTTCTTCCAAGTAGTTTTGCCCATCTTCACACACATTAAATACATACTGCACATTATAGAACTAATAAATTTTTACACGATGATGAAGGCTTTTTAAGTCTTTGAGTTCTGACATTGGGGAAGACAATAATGACTACCATAGTATCTCTCATTCTCTTTGTAGTAGCTGTCCTTATATTTACGTATGCTGAAATTGAACTTAAGAGTCTAGACTAATATCACTCTGGACAGTGAATAATAGTATTGCTAGATTTTATATCATAATGCTACAGAACTGGCATTGGGTTTCATAGTGTCTCTTCTTCTTCAGAGTATCTGTTCATTACACCCTGTATTATATAATCTGTTTCCATAAATAGTTTATAAAATTCTTCCCATGTGTGAATTTCTACATGTATATCTATCTTCTCTGTATTATAGGAAAAAACAAATCATAACAAGACATCAAAACCAATTCCTAGAAAAACATGCAATGAAAAAGACACATAAGGCCACATATAGTTACTATGTTTCTCTTATTATTTTCAATAGACTTCTCCACATCATCAGGCTTAATATAGTTAAGCATAGCATTACAGAGCTATTTTTATAAAAACACAACTTTGAAAACATTGTAGGACTTGAGAGCTGTTAATAATCAAAACTGGTATGGATATCTTTTACATCTTGTTATCTTCAGAGTAGTTGCCTCTACTTTTAGGGTTGATACTATCAAGCATACCAAATTCAAATAAAATCAGCCAAGGCAAAACTGCAGTCTAATGAATCAGTTTCAAATAAGATCAGTCATAGTAAGACAATGCAAGTAATACAGGGTTTCAGTTAAAGTTAATAGGAAATTAAGGATTGTTACCATGGTATAACCTGTTATTTTTGGGTCAGATGTCTGTGCCCTCAAATCTTATATAAATATAAATTCAAACTAAACAGAGCGATAGGACTACTGTGACTTTTAAATCCTCATACAATATTAACAATGACTTCTGCCTTTTTTATACTGTATCAAAGATATCTATACTAAGTATTATAGCTTACCCTCTGCCTCATGCTTGCTACTCCAATTTACTGCTATAATTTGTCCACCTTACTCCCACATTCCACTGTCTGCCCCATTCACTGAGGCCTCTCTGCCACTGTTGCTGGAATACTGGTATCCCTTCCTCTATCTCTCTGGAATGTCCTTTAGCACTCTTGTAGGCTTGGGTTGGTGGCCATGAACTCCCACACTTCCTCCTTGTCTTGGAAACATCATATTTCTCCATTAATTTTGAGAGAGAGTTTTTCTGGCCATATCAGTCTTGGTTACAAATTATTTTCTTTCAGGGCTTGGAATATTTTCCCCCATGCCCTTCTCGATTTGAGAGTTTGTGTTGGTAAGTCTGTTGTTATTTTGATAATTTCCCATTGTAGGTTATCGGCTTCTTTTCCCTGGCTGCTTTTAGTACTCTGCTCTTTTGGTGCATTTCTGGAATCCTGATTATTATATGTCTGGGTGTAGATCTGTTTTGGTTGTAGTTGGCTGGAGTTCTGTATGCCTCATTTATCTGGATATCATTTCTTTTTCCTGCACTTGGGAAGTTTTCCTTCAATAAATCTGTGAATATTCTTTGTATTTCATTTTTGGTTACTCCTGTTCCCTCGTTCACATGCTTTATTCTTAAGTTATGTATCCTTTTGTAATCTTCTAGCCTTTGAATAGTTTCTTTTTGTTTCCTCATTATTTTTAAGAGGTCTTTTCTTTCACAATCATATATCATAAATCTCTTTTCAAGTTTCCAAAGGCTAACTTTAGTTTCTGCCAAGGCATTTTGCCAGTGTTCAATGGAGTTTTTAGTTTCCTGGGAATCTCTTTGGATCTGTTTCATGTATTCTAGTTTATGTTTAAATTCTTCTTCAGAGGTTTCTCTTTTCTCATTTCCTCTGTTCTTTCATCTGTGTTCTCTTTGGCAGGGCTTATCATTTGTTTAATTAATCTCTATATCTTAACTCACTTATGAGGTCATGAGGGTATTTATTTCAGCTGATGCTGTGTCTAGTATTGGATGGTTACTGTGTTGGTTCTCTTCTGTGATTACTTATCCTGGGCTTATTTCCCCAGGTTTAGCAGCTGGAGATTTTTTTTTATTTCCATGTCTTGTCATGTTTCTGGTTTCTTTCAGACTGGTGTGTCCTGGGATTCTCTGGCCCTCTCCATATTGCTTAGGGTCTTTCCAGAGCGTGCTGACTTGAGTTTTTGCTGTCCTCCACAATTTGCTGCTATCTGATATAGGCAGGGATGCAGGGACAATGCAGGCTAGCCTCCAGCCTCTGTGCCAGTCAATCTGCAAGTTAGGTTGTACCTTGTGGACATCACAGAGTCATGACTATTTTGTATCTGCTTATTGGGCACCAACCAGAAGTGTGGTTCAGCCCCACCAGACCCTGAATGATGTCACCACAGCACAGGGCTCTGTCCAAATCCCAGCTGTCCTCTTCCAGATCTCTCTGCACCAGGGACATCTATCTGATGTCACCATGGCACTGGGGTCTGCAGAGTTTCTGGATGTCCTTGACGAGTCCTCTCTGTGTCACTAACACCCTCATGCCCCTGGGCTCTGCCCAATTTCAAGATGTCCTTCACCAGACCTCTCTGCACCAGGGATGACTATCTGATGTCACCATGTTGTGGGTGCTGCCCAACTCCAATATGTCCTCCACCAGTCCTCTCTGTGTCACTGATGCTGCCGTGGTACTGAGCTCTGTCCAACTCCAAGTTATCCTCTGGCCAGTGACAGCATCTGTGGGACCCAGTCCCTAGTACTCACTGGGACTCAATGCAGGTCTTCCTCTTGGGTCCACTGCACACTGAGCCAGTTGTCTTCACTGCATTCTCAGCACAGTTTTGAAATTTCTTGTTGTCTCCTGTGGTTCAGCCTTGTGGCTTTGGCTGCTTTGCAGGGTCCCAGGTCTCAATTTCCATCAGTCACCAAAAGCCAATACAGCTTTTCCCCCTTGGTATCACTGCTCACTGTGCTGTGCTAAGGCCCCAGGATTCATAGACTGCCGTTTTTGGCAGCCACAATCTCGGCATGACCTTAAGTGCCCTGGGTGTGCCTAGCATAGTGCTGAATGGGGCTCAGTGAGTACATCAGGCTTTGATTCTCCATCCATGCTTTTCCTTCTTCTTCCTAGTTTTATTTTTCCCTTCAGTTACCACCTTGGTTAATTAGAATCTTTATCCATTCTTCTGGCCCCATCCATGTTGGCATATTCTAGCATCTGATCTGATTTCTCCATAGAGACTCTGCAGCCAGCACCCTAGCAAGCTGACATTTTTCTCCACCAATTTGTGGATTAAAACTTAATTGACAGGAACAATAAATAAACCCTCTCTTGCAACCCAGAACTCACTGTTTGGTATGCGTTTTGATGCATATAAGAAGGAATATTACTGCAAGGTACAGTGATACAAGCCTGTGATCCTGGGACCCCAGAGGCTGAGGCAAGAGAAATGAATCTTGAACTATATTAATGAGATTGTACTTCAAAAAACCTGTTGGTTTATTGTTGACATGTTATCTTTCTGCTGTTGCATCTTTATCTTTCCATTCTGTTTAATTGTTTGCTTTGTGTAGTGGTTTTTTTCCTAAGTGCATCTAAATTGTCTTTCAGTATTCTTTGCAGGGTTGGCTTGGTGATTATGAAGTTCTTCAGTTGTTTTTGTCATGGAAGTATTTTATTTTCCATCCCTTTTGGAGGACAGTTTTTCAGGGTACATCAGTCTAGGTTGAAAATTACTTTCCTTTAGGATCTGAAATACTTTACTCTATGATCTTCTTGACTTCATTGTTTGTGCTGTGATGTCTGCTTTGATTCTTATAGGTTTTCTTTTATAAGTGATCTGTCTTTTCTTTCTGACAGCGTTTAATATTCTATTCTTATGTTGGATTTCTGGGATGGTGATTATGACATGTCTGGGTGTAGTTTTGTTTTGATTATGGCTATTTGGGGTTCTATATGCTTCCCTGATCATGACATCAGTTTCCATTCTCATGTTGGGAAATTTTCAGCTATTACTTCTCTAAATATCCTCTTGACATCCTTTATGTTGCCCCTTCTTTTTTATTTATCCTTATCAATCATATGTTGCTTTTCTTTGCATCATCTTGCAGCTGTTGAATTGTTATTTCCTGATTCCTCATTATTTTTAAAACATCTTTCCTTTCCTGTTCACTAGCTGCAATCTTGTCTTCGAGGTCTGAAATTCTATCTTCACTTTCATTGAATTGGTTTTTACAAATTTCAATGGAATTTTTTATTTCCTGTATATCTCTTTGCATCTGCTTTATGTATCCTCTTTGTTTCTTATATTCAGGGATTCTATTTTTTTGTTTAGTTTCTTCTATCCAGGGATTCTACCTCCTTGCTTAGTTCTTCTAATTTTTTAACTGTATCTTCTTTAGGTATGTTCAGCATCTCTTTCATTTCTTTTATCATTTCTTGTTTTACCTGGGAGATTATTTCTAGTTTGAATTCCTTTAAAGCTTCCCAGATTTGCTTTTTTATTTCATTTACTATTATGTCAGTTATTTCAGCTGTATGGCATATATTTTATTCTATGTACATAGCTTCTAAGGTTTCTTGGGATAGGCTGGATGTTTGAGATTGTATTTTGTTCTTTTGTCATTTCCCTATATTTCAGTGTTTCATGTGTTATTCCATGGCTTCCCCAGGCTTGTTGGAAATCCTCTTCTATGCCCTCAGCTCCTGGGACTCTAGCTCCCCAGTTCTCTGGATTGAGAGAGGGTCACTTGGGGTAGGGCAGGTTGACTGTGGCAGAATGCTGTGAAGTTCCTTGTCTGGTTGGACCAATGATCCCAAACTCCAGGGTTCGGGAGGGTTCAGGGAAACTCATTTCATTCAGCCAACTCTCCAGAATTTAGGGCGCAGGTGGGTCTAAATCCCCAGAGTCCACCAAGCATGGCAGGAAGTAAGGAGGCCTGTTCAGGCCAGCTCAATACCCGCCAAGCGGGTCCAGTGCAGCAGGAAGCTGTGAAGTTCCCTGGCTGGGGCTGAGCAAGGATCCTAAACTAGCTGGGCTCAACAGATGGTGCGGGGACACTCACCCCAGGCCTCCCAGCCACTGGAATGGATAGCACCATCAGTCCCAGAGCTCCAGAGTCTGCCAAGCATGGCAGGAAGCTTTCTTTGTTTCTTATATTGTTCATCCAGGGATTCTATCTTTTTGTTTTGTTCCGCTAATGTTTTAACTTTGTCTTCTTTAGTTGTGTTCAACATCTCTTTCATTACTTTTTTCATTTCTTCTTTTACCTGTGAGATTTTTTCCTAGTTTGAATTCCTTTAAAGTTCCCAGGTTTGCTTCTTTATTTCAGTTGCTGTTATTTCAGATATTTCAGGTGCATGGCATATATTTTCTTCTATGTACATGGCTATTAGGCTTTCTTGGGATTTGCTGGAGGTTTGAGATTGCATTTTGGTCTTTTATTTTGTCATTTTCCTATATTTCTGCTTTTCATGTATTTTTCCAAGGCTTCTCCTGGGTGTGTTGGAAATCATCTCCTATTCCCTCAGCTCCTGTGACTGAATGGAGGTTACTGAGTGCAGTCTAATCAGGCCTACAGTACCTCCTGTGCCACCTCTAGTGTTCCAGGAAGCTGGGTGAGCACCTCACCACTGTGGATGATGGTCCTAATCTCTCCCCGGGCAAGGACCAATGTGCTGGAACTCACTTCATGTGCTCTCAACTCCCGTCATTGAAGAACGTCACTGGGTGTAATCTAGTCTGGCTGGAAAACCTCCCAAGCCTAATCTAGTGTTTTCTGCAATCTGCAAGCTTCCTTGACCACTGGAAGCAATGATCTTAAACTCTCTGGGTGTTTGGGTTGGTGAGCAGGAACTTACCCTGGCTGCCAGCCCAGTTCCTTTCTCCAGGCAGCACAGTTCCCCAGATTGAAAGCAGATGGGCTGATTTGAATACATTCATATTTTGAAATGAAAGAATAAATAGGTAAAAAATAGAAAAAATACTGGAGATATGAGAGAGCTTAATGACAGTGGAATAGTCTGGATCAGGAATAAGAGGATGAATTAATATAACATGGGTGGTTATTCAGATGGGAAGAACTAAAGGAGGAAGGATGGTTGTCCCACAAGACATTAGATGAAAATGCATGGAAATTCAAATAAGATGATGGATAAGTAGGCTGGGGAATCTCTCTTATATCATGACCTTGAGATTCTCAGAGAGTAGAATGTAATAATCCTTCTAAAAGCAAGGTAAGAAGAGGTAGGCTACATAGTTTGAGGAAAGTAATTATTTATTTTATATGGTAATGAGAAAAGCAGGAAAGGTTGATATTTAAGAATTTATGGCTCAATGAGACTAGAGTTGAGGGTTTATGGTATGATCTTATCTAGTAGTTCTCATCATCACGGAGAAGCTGGGTGGTTGAATTGATCCAGAGATGAGGTTTCATGAGCAAATATGTAAGAAGATCAACAGAAAAAATAAGAAATGGAAAATATTTCAAGAGAGGTGGCAACACAATAAATAGATTCATAACCAACCTGGTAGATTTGGGAAATAGGGGAAGGGTAAAGGAACTAAATGTTTTGTCGAAAAGTAATAGTAGATTTTTTTTAGAAATACAGTCAGAGGTGGCTTTGAGGATTTGGCTGAGTGCCATAAGGTCCTGCCTTATATGCACGTGGTTGTGAGTTTGGTCCCCAGTTCCGATTTAAAAAAATCTCTTAAATTTTAGGGCCAGGGATTTAGCTCAGTGGTGTAAGTGCCTGCCTGGCAAGCTTTAGGTTTTGAGTTCAATTCCTGAGTCAGAGATCAATGTGACAAAACAAAAAAGAAACAAAAGCGTAAAAGTAGCATAGTGGAATTTAAAATAATCTTGAAGATCAAACATTTGTGTTGCTGGAAAGTGAGTTGCCAAGGTGGAAATTATTGAAATTCAGCAAATTTGACAAACTACGATGCCAAGGTCATTTTGATTAATGACAAATTTGATGTGGAAAAGGAAACAGTGAGCCTCAAAGTTCTCATTAACATCGAGAAGACTGATTAGGTAACAATAATCCCCAAGGAACAAAGCAGAAGTTCACACAGGTAAATGTTAAAGAGGTCTGTGTTAAGAGAACGAAGCTAAATTTAAAAGTGGACTTCTCATTGAAAGGAAGCAGCTGCTACTCAGCTCCAGATGACAGTTGCCATTTGGAAAGAAAGCAACAAATTGCTAGAAATTTCCAGTTTCAAGAAAAATGGCAAATGCCTTAAATGTGAAATGTTTTATTTTCATATATTGACAATTAATGTTAAAAAATACTCTGAGGGCCAAACAAAGCATATTTTTAGAGTGAACAGCCTGTGAGCTACCAGCTTGCAACCCCTAAGATAGAAAGTATGATGGTCAGATGTTTCAAAATGTAAAGCAAAATAGACTTTTGAAGAATGGCAGATACATTCATGTTTTCCTTGTGTACAACAGTACATTTCACTATAGTCATTTAATCATGTATACAGGGCTTCAAAGGAGGCAAAGCAGGGGAAGCCAAATTTACTATAATGTTTCTGTCAATTGCAAGAAAGTTTCTGTCTTTGAGCATTCTTTGTTCTTTATGAAAGTAGAAAGGGAAGTGAAATCAAATTTACCATAATGTTTTTGTCCCTTTCAAGAAAGTTTCTCAGTCTTTGAGCTTTCTTTAGTCTTTATAAAAGTAGCGGGCAAAATGTAATGTTCTACTTCAGCTTTGTCCTTGCAGGATTTTCAGGTGGAATTCCTTTTTGAATGGGTAAATTGTATATTTTCAGAAATCTCTTCACATCAGTAACTGCATTTTAACAATTTTCGGTAATGTGCCCCGAGGTCCTGGGTGGAAACTGGTATAACACTAAAAGTGAACAAATGAAACCTTTCATCTGTTCCCAGGTATGCCTGGCTTCCGGCAACTTTGGCATTAGTAGTTGAAATTCTGCTTGCTGCCTGAAACACTGAAGTGTTGTTAAAGAACTCTCTGCCTTTTCAAGAGTGGTAGCTGATTGGGAGTCTTTTAGACTGAGGCATGAATCAAAATTGTCATTCCTGTTTAGCTATATGGTTTATTAATTCATTTACTGAAGTATGTCCTTGATTTCTGTTAAACCTTTTAAATTTAGACATTCTCCGCATTGAGTGATTCTGTGGTGGTATTAAATAGCCAAATAACTCATTCATATTCAAATATCTCCTTTAGCACATTTCTAGTTTCCTTTATATGCAAAACACATCCTCTGCTGCAAGTGTTTTCAGCTTCTCTCTCCCACACTCCTTACTTAGCTAGCTGTTTCCATTGTCTGCTTTATGAGACTTCAGGGCAGATTCACATGGTGGGAGGTGAAGGCTAACAGCTGAAAATGGAGCAGCCAGCAGCCTTCCCTGCCA